AGGCACCATGGTGAACGCTGCACTGGAGCATCACCTGGAGGGCAGGGATGCAGGCACCTGCTGGGGACCCATGGGTGCTCAGGGCATCCACACCTCCCTCCCCTGAGCACATGGAGACCCAGGACCAGACTTGCCAAATCCAGACCGCAGCCAGTGTTACTTTGCACACCCTGCGTGGCTGGAACGAAGCTTTCCATCTCCTGCAAAGTTAAGCTTGCTGAGGGAGTCAGCAGGCAGCCAGCAGCTGCTGTTTTGCCGACGGAAGGTGCACACACACACGCTACAAAAAATAAACAGAGATGCAACAAATCTCTTATGCAAAAAAACATATTATATACCACTGATTCCACCCCCAGAGCAGCACAGGGCTGAATGTAATCAAGAGTCCTTAAAGCTCAGGGTCACAAGTGACAGCTTTTATTTACAGCGCGCAGCAGCTGTCCTAGCAGGCAGATTAACTGCGACACAGCCAAGGCTGGAGCAGAGAGTGCAACCACTGCTGGCTTGCCTGCACCCAAGGAGGCTGCGGCCGCGGGGAGCTGCAGGTCTCCGCAGGGTAACAGCCAGCAGAAACCCTTCCTGGGCATGTTGGTGCAAACCGGTGGACGTCAAAGCCCAGACTTCAGAGGAAATATTCCCTGTGCCCAGCCGCCTGCTCGGGAAGCCCAAAGCTGTGCCAAAGCACCGGTGCTGGCTCCCTCCTCCTCCTCCCGCAGCACCTAAGTGTGCTTTGCACCAGGAGGATGTTGGTTTGCTCCCTCTCCTTGGGACAGCAAGAGAGGAGCCATACCACCACACACCTTGGAGAAATCGAAGACAAGCCGCCCTGCTCTGAACTCTGCCAGCAAAGCGCTTCCTAATGGTTTCATCCCACTGATTAACGCAGAAACCATCTCCCCTGCTAATGCAAAGAAACTCATTAGCACCTCTTCCCAGGGAGAAAAGGCTCATCTTTAATTTTTTTCTTTTATGTTCTTCTCCTTTCAGGTCCAATTAGTACAAAAATCTTAACTCACCTGACCCTGCAAAGCTCGGGACAGAGCGTGGGGCTGCAAGCACCAGCTGGGCAGCAAGCATCGGGGCGGCCCCATGGAGCCCGGCTGTCATCGGGGAGGGGGCACACAGCGGGCTCACGTGGCCCTTTGGTTTCTCAGCTTTGGCAAGACATTCCTCCCATTAGTTAGCTGTTACAAGACAGAAGTACCGTCGGCTGCACAGCTTTAATTTCTGACAAGGTTTCTGCTGCATTCCCAAAATTACAGCAAAAGGCGGCTTCTTCAGTAGTACCGAGAAAAATGGGATTCACACTCCTGAGCGATAAACCTGCTCTTTTGCAGGAGACCCTTCTCCCTGAAACTCCTAACGTATGAAGTTAGAAAAGCATGCACGACCTGCCCCAGACAGCCACTCTGCCTGAGCAGGCAGGACCCGTCCTGCCCTCACCGGCAAGGATCTGCAGGGAGAGACCCAGCCCCACCACTGCCCCCAAGCAGAGGGATCTGCTGAGACCCCCCAGCCCCGGGGAAGATGAGGAGGAAGACCTTGCGCCACGCCTTGGCACAGCCTCGGCCACACTGCGGCTCATGGGAAGGAATAATTAAGCTGCCTGTTATCTAGCAATGGCTGGAAACCCCAAAGGCAATGCCTGCAACCAAGATGCTGGAGGCAGAGAGGGGTTTGCTCCCCCAGGAGGCTTTCCCCTCTGAGGGAAGCAGCTCAGTAACTTGGACAGAAATTTCTATCGCTCCAAGCAAGTCCTGCGCTCAGACGAAGCCCCTGCTGGGAGCAGGACCCCTCACCCCAGGGCTCTGCCTCGCCTCAGTGGCACCCATGGCGGGGGGGGCTTCCCCCAGCAGTGCACCCACAGCCAAACCCTCCACTCGGCACCCTGGACACACCGGCACTGCCGCGGCTGAACGGGGAGGGCTGGTGCGTTCCCGAGGAGCTAAAGATGTTTCCCCAGTAAATGCCATTTTCAAAGGAAGGAAAGCCAAAGGACTCAGCATCTCCAAAGCTAGAAGCCAATAGGTACCATTTTGATGCACTTTTTAATACTACGATCATCTTTATTTCCCTAGTATCAGTGGCTTGTTTTCCAAATATATTTAGATCAATATCTTTCTTTGTTTAAGAGACGATGATAAACAAACACAACGCGAGAGGTTCTCCATAACATAAAACAGTAGGAGGGAAAAAACCTAGGGGGCCATTAGGAATTGTAATGCCAGATTAATTTAAAATGGATTTCTATTCATTTACATTCACTCAGGCCTACATAATCCATTAGGCATAGCTTTGTGTGTATCTAATGGTTTGACATCCTCAAAAACAAGCGGCTGATCCTGGAGCCCACTGGGACCAGTGGACAGACTGGGAAAGGAGGTGGAGAGCAGCTGGGCGGGCATGGGAGCTGCCTCCCAATGTGGCTCCGTCCCATCCCAGGGTGCTTCGCAGAGACCAGTCAGCATCAAGAGGAGCGGAGACAGTCCCAAAAACAGCAGCAAGAGCCGTGCAGCTCCATCCCCACAATGTCCCCAGCCTTTACCCAGGCTCCTGGCTCCCCCAGCCAAGCAAGGACACGCGTGCACAGGAGCACAGCTGCCACAAACCCTGGCCTTGGGGAGGTCCCTGCGGTCTCTACCGCCAGCAAGGCTCAGCAACAGCCACAAACCCTGCCGAGAAAGCCTGATGCACCAAAATAACGCCCTGCGCTTGCTCAGCACCTCTTGCAGCAGTCCAAGGCAAATGCAGCAAAGACCCAGCAACCGCCTTCCTCAACCACAACCGCCTGTGGTCACAAACAGCCTCGCCTGCTTCAGCCAGAAAACTCAATGCCAAATTCTGGGATTACAGAGAAAAGGAGCTGTGATGTGACAGTTTTGTTGTTAGATAGACACAAATTAAAACCCAAGCACGCTCTCGCAGCAGAGGCCTCCAGCGTTACCACCCCAGAGTTTCATCTGCATCGTGATGCAGACGGCAAGAGTGGGACAATTACATGGCGCCTGCAAACAGGGTTATCTTAACGGAAACGGAGATGTACAATCAAAAAACTATTTCCATGTCCCCCCCAAAATTATGAGTGCCTTACAAAGATGATAATAATGAGTTTTAGGGCATACACATGATCTTTCCCACTGTATAATCTGCCCATTTCAAACCTATATAGCTCTAGCAGCTCTATTACAGAAGTAAATTAACCCTAATTTGATTGCTTCTCAGTAGCAGTTGTTTCAGCGCTCTAATCAATAAGTCACAGGATTTTACGACTGCCCTTGGTATCAATCATTGCAATCAGTAATAAAACGCTTTTCATTTTAAGAACACCTGAAATACCACGTAATTACCTTTGTATGAAATTATGGACTCCAATTTACCAACTTCACCAAGCCGCTGCTGCAGCATCGCTCTGCACCGAAAGCCTATTTGCAGAGAAGAACATCACTTTCTTTCTAAAGGCTTTCTGAGCTGTCCCTCATCTCCTCCACTTCTCACTGTACCAGCAAGTTATTATTCACACCCCAGCAAAATAGCAGGTTACAAAAGACACCCATCTCCCAGAAATCCTCCAAGAAAGGGGGAGATCCGAGATCCTGCTGAGAACAGGCAGTTGGGAAGATGCAACACTGGTGCGTGGCATCACCATCAGCTCTTCACCGCACCCACCCATCACCACCGCGGCACCAAAACAGAGCCAAAAGCCATCGCACAGCAAGATAACGCAGCCAGTGCCCCAACAGCAGGGCAGGGAGAGCACAGCCACCAGGCATGTCCCCAGTCCCGAGGGCTGAGCCTCCCATGGAGCCTGCGGCACCAGCCAGACACCTCAGGGGGTGACGAGCTCGTGGTTTGGGGGAAGCAGATAGTTGGGGAACCGGTGACGGACAGGGAACACCTGATCTTCAGGCCAGAGACCCAAGCCAGGCGTGCTGCTGGCTGCTGCTTTGGTAGCAATAGCTCAGAGGAGCCACTGAGGCCTTGGCAGCATCCGCAGGGCCCCCTCGCTGGCCCTTCACAGCCTGCTGTAAGGTTTCTTTGGTGCCATCTCTGTAAAGTCACTCTCCCCGTTGCTCTGCTGTCTCCCACCTCAGGGGTGCCCGCTCCTCAGCCCGTGGCAGCACTGCAGCCTCCCTTCACCAGGGGCTGCCTGGACCACAGCGTCGCCAAGCAGCCCCCGCCCAGCCCCAGCAAGGTACTGCCGCGGAAATGCAGCCAAGAAAAGGCTTCAAGGGCCCTGGCTGGCACTAAGATATTCCTGCCTGGCAAAGGATGCTCTGCCCACACCAGGGCATTGCAGGATCTGAGCTGTCTCCCCTTCTGTCCCCCATTCCCCACATTATCCCCTCTGTCAAGCAGGTTCTCGCTGTCCTCACTGGTACTGCACAGCCCCAACACGCTGCCCTCGGGGCTCCCCTGGCACTGGGATGCTCCGGTCGCTGCCAACAAAACAGTTATTCTCCCAGAGCTGAGACCCCTCGGCACAGTGCCCCTCCTCTGTGCCAGAGGGACCAGGGCTACCCCAGCACTGCACACCCGTGTCAGCACCCCAAAGTTGTGCTCAGGAGATGTTTCCAGGGGATTTTGGTTTGTGTCAGTTTTGTTTTGGGTTTGTTTTTTTTTTAAAAAAAAAAAACACACTCTTAAAAACACTGAAACTGACTTAGGAGAATATTTTCACTGGGCAGATGCTCAGGCCTCAGCAGTTGTTCTTACACAAATCATCCCCAGGATGCAGAGCAGAGGACGCGCTCCCCTGTCCTTGTGCAAAGCAGTAACAAAGAGGCTGCTGCGCTGCTGCCGCCATCAGATGGTTGCTCAGCCCCGAGGTGCCCTGGCTGGAGCTGACACAGGTCGGGATGATGAGGTTTAAGTTGTTGGAGCAATATTTTGTTACTCCTCTGCAAAAGCCATCACTCACCTGCCAGACCCTGCGGGCAGGGACCAAGCAGGCAGGAGCTGAGGACCTCCACCGGGGACAGAGGAGCCCCCCAGGCACTTACCCTGAAGTCGATTCCAACCGTGGAAATGAAGCTGCCGGCGAGGAAAGCGCCGTCTTTGAACCGCACCAGCAAGCAGGTTTTGCCGACCCCCGAGTCGCCCACCAGCATCACCTGCAAGGGAGGGAGAGGGGGGCGTTAGACACCAGGTTTCAGGACAGAAGCCCCACCGTAGCCATTACCCATCTCCATCCCAAAAGCCCCATCCTGGGAGCAGGCAGCGGATCCTGTATTCTTGAGAGGAGAAAAGCACATCCAAGGGTGATGTCCTCAGACCCAGGCGAGGGTGGGGGAGAGAAGGGGGGGATACACAGTCAGATTATTCCTCACCCTGCACCACATGTGTACCTGAGCACTGGCCAAACTCGAGACACCTTCCCCCGACCAGTACTTAAACCAGATCCCTTGTGGGGGCACAAACGCCCCTTGAAAGCCAAGTGTTGCTGTCTAGGTGACCCGACAGCTGCAGGGCCCATGCTGTCCCCAGAGCACCCACGAAACACGCTGCACCCTGCCATGCACGGGGCTTTCTGGGAGGGTGGCACTGCCCACGGGGAGACTTCAGGGGGGCCCCCAACCATGAGTGCCAACTCCAGGGGTGCACTCTGCCCTCTGTGAGCAAACTCCTTCAGTGGGACCCGCACAGCCTCATGGCCACCCTCTCAGTCCTCAGCAGGTGCTGAGGGAGCAGCTCCCGGTGCTGCCTGCCTCAGTTTCCCCACCCAGCAGCAGCCCCGGGTGCAGACGGGGCAGGCACCCACCCTGATGTAAAGAAATCACAGCAGAGCTGAAACTGCTCCCAAACGCAGATCCCCAAAGCCTGTGCTTTCGAACCACAAGCCCCCCAGAGCCCTCCTGCCCGCCAGGGCTGCCGACCCCACTCCCCTTGGCAGAACGACAGCTTCCCGCCGTCGAGAAATCCCAGACCACGCAGCCAAGCAGCATTAGTGGCTTCTGTACCCGCACTGATTTGCATGGCTTCAGACTGACATGGCAGGGTTCCCTCTATCCCAAAAGTGCTGCCATTAGCCTTCTGCAAGCTATTAGCCTGTGACCAAATGTAAATGGTTTTAAGAAGGCGCTGCCCTGGGTCACACCGAACCCACACAGGAGCCATCAGAAGCAGCAAACGCCGCCACCGCCGCCACCACCACTCTGTGGCTCAGCCTCCCGAGAGGCGGCAGCAGCCCCGGCCACAGCTGTAACTTGTTTCGGGGCAGGGGGGCACCACTGGGGAGCGGAGCGGGTGGCCGGAATCCAGCCCCACACCAGGTCTCCCACAGGAGCACCACGCACAGCTGCGCACCGAGCTCTGGCACAACAGGGGAGCCAGCGAGCCCACGGATGTATCTGTGCAAAGCCAAGGGAAGGGGGGAAAAAAAAGTCATTTTTAGTACAAAATAGTAATATTGATCTTTTTAAACTTCCCAGATCTCTGTTCTGGAGCAGGGCGACCCTTACAGGCAGCTTCTCCCCGCCCAGCACGGCCAAAACCTCAGCCGGGGCACGCAGCAGCACCCAGGGCCAGGCTCACGCCAAGGGCTCAGTGATCAGGATCCGGCCCCATGCCCGGGACTCATGTTTGGCCACTGCCTCTCGCAGAGCTCAGGAGCCTCAAGAGAGGGGTAAGG